TTTTTTTTAACAATATAAAGTGAGACGGACTGACACACTACTGTAGCGTCAGTTGTTTCAATATAAATAATAAAAACAACGGTTGGAAAAGGCTTAGGATTTATGCATTAAAATGAAAAAACTAACGCCGAGAATTTCTTAGAATAGTGATAATCTTCCCGGGAATTGAGTTGTTAATTTCACCCCGGGATCCTGTTGATGAGCTGAGATGAACGGGAGACAATATCCTTCCCACAGCTGAAGTTCCTCTGATAATGAAGGTTGTGGCGCGGCGGTGCAGTATCTTCCACGTTCAAGGAGACGCACGCCGGTGTAAACTGTGTCATATCTTTGCTGAACGAGGACACGAGCTGCAGTCAGTAAACTATCCAGTTATACCCCGACAGTCTGAAATTTTTTTTACTAGTCAACCCAAGGTGTGTCTGTCACGCGGACCTGACCTCACATACAACACACAAGCTGAAGGAAAACGGGTCTAGATAGATACCTATTGGGTGTTTTGCAAGTTGGTGGTAGGCACGTTATATGACTACTGTAATATATTAACAACACATAACCTTCATCGTGGAGATAGATTCGAACCAGGAATTTCTAATGCATTCTGTCCAGTCATCAACCAATGCGCCAACTGCATCCACACAATCAAGCGGGAGAATATGTCAGTCACGCGCATGGAGCTGAGTGGGTCAAGGCTGTCAGTGTCTCGTGTGTTGTGCTGATAAACTTTGTAGATTAATAATTTAATTAATCTTAGAATTGTAGGTAGGTAGGTGTGTGTGTGTGTGTGTGTGTGTGTGTATTCCCTGTTACTTCTCATCCTTAACGTTTCTCTTTCAGTTTCTACACCTTTTTCATCCCAGAAAAGGTGTAAGAATGAGAATGTTTTGTGATTAGATCATTTCATGCAATTTTCACCAACATTGAGCATTTATGGTAACAACACACACACACACACACACACACACACACACACACACACACACACACACACACACACACACACACACACACACACACACACACACACACTCTCTCTCTCTTCCTGCTGCGGTGTCATGTGGGTCTAGAACTCTTGGGATAATTTACTCAATGAGACATCATGAACGTGGGAGCAGTGTTGCCACATCCTCAGATTTTCTAAGAAGGAACCTTGATGTAAAGGTCTGCGTTCCGCTCTACGTGAATGCTTTCTAAAAAAAAATCTCCCTCCTTGTGCGAATTCTTTCTTTGACTTTGATTAGATGCTTCGTATATCAACAGATTATAATACTCTTTATTGTGAGTATTTGAAGGGTACATACATTACATTCACCAGGACTGCGCCGAGTGAGTGCTCTTTACCACCACCGTGAGGACGCTTGGTGACCATTCATTCACAGCAGTGTGCGAGGCTGTCAGGTGAGAGGGCGACCACCATTCACTGTTTTATACTCACTGACACTTTCACATCCTCTTACACCTCTCACATCCCTTTACACCTCTCACACACACACTCTCGGGATTTCACACAAACTCACGCTTTCACACCTTTACATGTTTACCCGTTCACACTTATCATATTCTCCCACACAGTCAGTCTCTCTCTCTCTCTCTCTCTCTCTCTCTCTCTCTCTCTCTCTCACACACAGAACTACTCTTTTCCATACAATTTGCAATAATGCTTCTGGCACCTGAGGAAAGGCTTCAGGTCAAATGAGCCACATTTCTATAAGGAACCCGAATTGACCAAAACTAACCTACAGCACGGGGACCCATTAGGACTTTGGCTGCTAAAGACTAAAGCCAATTAGTACTTGGGCTAATTCGGACTGAAATCGATTAGAACTGGGGCCACTTAAGACTGGAGCCATTACAATTGGTTGCCATTAGGACTGGTCGCCTTGTGAAACAACTGGAGCTCAGCGACTCACTCATTCACTTAGTCTATCAGCTTCTGGCGCCTGGTACCCCCCCCCTCCTCCTCCCTCTGTCCTGCTCCTCCCTATCCCCCCTCCTTCCGCCCTCTGCCTCCTCCTCTCCCTCTCCCAACCTCTTACCATTTGCTTCACTACTTACCACCCTCTCCATATGACCCTTCCCCCTACTTCTCTCCTCCTTTCCTCCCCTCTACTTCCGTTTTCCTCTCCCTCCTCCTTTTCCTTCACCACTTTCCTCATATTCACCCTCCCCTTCTTCCCCTTTTTTTCTCCTGCTTTCCCCCTCCCTCCTCGTACCTTCAACCATATTGTTACAATTTTCATGATCTTATACTCTCTCTCTCCCCCCCCCTCTCTCTCTCTCGTTACTTCTCCGTATTGTAACAACAAAATCTCTACCCTCTCTCTGTCTCTCCCCCTCTCTCTCTCTAGCAACCCTTCCCTCACAAATCTTCACCACACATTCGCTCGTCGTCAGCTCAACAAGTCAATACTTAAGAGTAGTACAACTCGGTCAAAACACAACACGACATCACAAATAGGAAACTCACTACCCGCCATTTTAGGGTGAAAACAAAACAAAAGAAAACAAAAGCCTTCTAACAATAGCAGGGTAACAAAATACGTTGCTGTATACAGGTGGAGTGTATAAATGCACACACAAACACCTGACTTTCCGTTTTTTTACAAGTCTTCTAAAGAGAGGGGAGAGCGGAGAGGTTTGTTGACATTGCAGTATTGGCGGTGGATAGTAACTCTCACCTCAGCCGCTAGGGTGACCTGCGGCGCTACAGGGCATCACAGTTTCCTCTTGCGACTTATGAATCTGACACTAACTAGCAGAGAGTGTCAACAAAAGAGTCGTATTCATAGGTAGAGTTTATCGTTTATCTTTATTTCAGCAAACGTTTCAAAGTGCAAGACACGAAATTGCATGAGAGAGAGAGAGAGAGAGAGAGAGAGGACCACATTTAACCTAAGTGGACTGGAATGAGGAAGAATTGAAGAAATGGAATGTCTTAAAAATGAAATTCGTATTTGTTTATGGATGTAAATAAAGGCTTAAAAGAGTAACTAATTTATTTTTGGTCAGAAATGGAGTTTGTGTTAATATTGGGTAGGACTTATATACACCTGAAAGGCATTAAGATTCACGCAGATAGTACTGTTAACATCACAACCTAACCTAACCTAACCTAACTTAACCCAGTCCTGATGTTATTTTTCGTGGGAGGTGGGGGGGGGGGGGAACTAGGGGAAAGGTAGGAGGTTTAAGGGAGGGATGAAGAAAGGTTATGGCGTAAACACAGTCGTTTAAGAGAGAAAGTGGTCTCAAGTGTCAGCTGTAAGGGCAAGAGAGACGCTGTTTGTAAAAAAATAAAAATAAGAAAAAAAACTTACCAGGAAAACTTGTACCTAAATTATCAGTCACTTAAGTTGTCAGTCATTCACTTAAGTTCTCTGACGTCAAGGAACCGCCAGATGGTGAGGGAAATACGTTTAGTGACGTCATTGATGATGCAAGACCATTAAGTAAGATAATGGAATGTCATTTGTGGTGCATCTGGTGTAGTAACGTTTAATGTGGCGTCTTATTCACTTTAAAGAGTATTATCGATCTTAATGATAATACGTACGTACGTACATACATACATACATACATACATACATACATACATACGTACGTACGTACGTACATACATACATACATACATACATTACATACATACATACATACATACATACATACATACATACATACATACATACATATACCTCTACATCACACTGCTTAGTGAGCTTTCTGGATTTCCTGCACAAAAACCTGCAGAAACGTAAGACATCACTGGCCGTTGCCCTTGTTGACTTCAGGAAGGCCTTTGACCTTGTTGTTCACTGCACTGTTATCAACAAGGCCATTGCACTAGGGCTGCCCACCAACCTGGTCTCATGGCTCACTCATTTCTTGAGTGGACGTCGTCAGGCAGTGAGGTATCAGGGCTCGGTCTCCACATTCCAACACCTCATCTGCGGTGTTCCCCAGGGGACCAAGATGGAACCACTGTGCTTCCTCATCCTGATCAACGACGCTCTATCGGACACTCCTCACAGGTGGAAGTACGTGGATGACTGCACTGTGGGGGTTTCAGTGGGCAACACCGCACCAGACTACTAATCGCTACAAGGCACCCTGGACAGGCTACAGCATGGACTACGGAGAACAAGGTCACCATCAACCACACCAAAACCGTAGTCATGCACATCAATACCGCCACCACTCCAGTGCAAGCTCCAGCAGTCACAGTGGGTGCCCATCCTCTCCAGCTGGTGCAGTCTGCCTCCTGGGTGAAACTATAGACAACAAACTGGAGTGGAAGGCCCATGTAAATAACACAGTCAAGGCAGCCTCGTACTGTCTCTACATGCTACGATGACTTAGGTCACTTGGAACACCCACGCCAGAGCTGAGGGCTATCTACAATGCCTTTATTCTCCCCAAACTAATGTATGCGTCACCAGCCTGGTCGTCTTCTCTCAACTCCACCCAACAACGTCGGCTAGAGAAGGCACAGAAAAGGGCCTGCAGAATCATGCTCGGCGCAGAATACTCCGGCTACATCAACGCTCTCTCCACCCTGGAAATGCCATCCCTCAGTGACCTCCATCACCAAGCACTGGAAAGGTTTGGCAGCCAACTAATGCACCACCCTCGTCATCGCCACCTCCTGCCACCTGCAGCCCCCACCCACCTCACGCAGTCCGCCACTACAACAAAATTCAGCCCATAAGAGCCCGCACCGACAGATATAAGAATAGCACCATCCCATCTATTGTTAAAATAATAAACAACTCCTCATTTATGTACTGTACAACCCTGTAAATGTATTCAACGCATATTATATCATTATGTCTAAATCAAATGTAAGTCTGTATATTTTCAGACACCTGCTGCAACTCTATTAATAAACGGTTTATTATTATTATTATTATTATTATTATTATTATTATTATTATTATTATTATTATTATTATTATTATATACATACATAACATACATACATACATACATACATACATACTTACATACATACATAGACTCGTAGATGAAGGTCCAGACTCCTCGGTAATCTCATGAAGCTCATCAGCCTCTGGAAACAGAAGACATAAGAAGTCATTACAGAGACACAGATTAACTCATCCGTAAAGTTAAAACGACACAGAGAGGATGACGAGAGAGAGAGAGAGAGAGAGAGAGAGCATAATACATAAAATAGCAAGATTAAAAACATGAAAATAACAATAAAAAAATAAAATTCGCTGAAGCAACAATTTATTTGACTGAACAATAAACCACCACCAACACCAACAACAAAAAAGACGTTTTAACATATGTGCTAAATATTAAGCATGAGCTCTGCCACGATGCACCTCAACTTGCAAAATATTTTAACCTCTTTATATACCACCGTTGACTCGTCACAGGTCAGTAAACTGCTGGTAGCCTCCAACAACTACAGCGTGGGATCAGATGCTTTTAAATCCCACTACATAAAGAAAGGAATCGCTTCAAACAGTCTTGAACTCCACACTATGATAGAGAACTAAAAAAGCTAAATAAACAAGACCCCCAAAAAGGTATGTTCATCTGTACTACTTTTTTCAAATCGCTCTGAGATTTTCTTTTGCAGTTTTTACTCTTTTATTTATCCTTCCCCTCATGAATATATATTAAGTAAAACACAATGATACGTGAAATTCACAAACAACCCAGCTATCTCCTGAAGGATTCAATCTAAGGGCTTGAGTGTATATTCTCTCTATCTCTCTCTCTCTCTCTCTAGTCTCTCTGTGTCTCGATCTATCTCTCTATTTACATATATATTGCTCTTAAACATTTATTGAAGCTGTCAAGGACTGGAGAGCCTGAAGGTAGCACCGGCCAGCACCTCAGTACAGCAACACAGACGACACACCTGTATACCTGTGTTCTGATGCACTGCTGGGGAGGTCAACGAGCTCCCCTCCCCCCCCCCATATGTGACTCAAGAAGGTCCTCGACATGTGAGTCAAGGAGGTCCCCGACATGTGAGTCAAGAAGGTCTCTGATATGTGAGTCACTAATTTTAGGAAGTTCGTGTGGCAGTGATTACGTCTTGAAACACAACTCGTAAACACTAACAGGAGGCGGATGTAAGAGGACAATGTCTCCATGTAAAAGTCTAGGAACAGTGACCGGCAGTTAGTCTTTGATTAATGAATGGTCTGTGTGGTAATGGATCACCTGAACTTAATTAACCTGAGTAAGTAAGTTTTCTCTCCTGACAGACACTATTTATTCTCCTCCTTCACCCCCGCACACCAGTCACCCCTCTCCTCCACTCATACACCTCTCCTCACCTCATCCCAACATATCCCTCACTCTCCTCTACTCTCACACCCTCACCCCTCACCCCAATACACCTCTCATAACACACCATAGAACTACACGCCTCCCCCGCATACCCCACGTCCTCACACACCCAACATCACCCACATCTCTCCCTACGCCCGCACACACAACATCACCCTACGCCCATCCACATCTCACCACGCCCTCCCACACACAACATCACCTACGCCCACCCACATCTCCCCACGCCCCCACACCCACATGAGCCACCAGAGTCATGGTGTGACCTTTACAGCATTAAGGCGGTGGAGTGACATCAATGAAGGGTAAGTGAGGCTGCCCAGTATTCCTCCCATCTCTCTCTTTCTCTCTCTCTCGAACACACACACCTTATTATCTCTCTCTTTTTATCTCTCTCTCACACACATACCTTACTCTCTCTCTCTCTCTTAAAACGCCAACTCACTCCTTCTCTTTCACTCTCTTAGAACACCATCTCTCTCTCTCTCTCTCAGAACGCTATCTTTCTCTTTCTCTCTCTCTCAGAACGCTAGCTTTCTATCTCTCTTAGTATAGACGTGGACTAGAGAGTATTTTCCTTGACATATTGAATGGTTCACTATAAAGAACTCTGGCGTGTACAGTTGTCATAAGAGATGAATGGGTCTAGGTGTGGCAGGGACGAGACCGGATTAATAGCTAACAGAGTAGGTGCTGGTAGTGACTCTTAAGGTACACCAGATCAATAGTAAACAAACTAGGTGCTAATAGTGATCCTTAAGGTATACCAGATCAATAGTAAACATAGGTGCTAGTTTAAATCCTTGAGGTCCACCAGATCAATAGTAAACAGAGTAGGTGCTAGTATAAATCCTTGAGGTACACCAGATCAATAGTAAATAGTAAATAGGAACGAGAATTATCCTTAAGACACAGCCATATCACTTCGATAGTCAAAACAAACCAACACTTCCACTGTGGCCAACACGACAGGTGACAGTAGACGAGGAGGAGGAAAGTAAGGCCACGATAATACTTGTTTGGGAGGAATAGATTCGTCGGTGGAGCCTTTGGTAAAGTTAAAATACGTGCCTCTCTCCCTCTCCTTTTTCTTCTCCTTCTCCTTCTTTTACTCCCTTCTTCTCCCCATCTTCTCCTCCTTCTTCTCTCTTTCTCTATTTATCTGCATCTATATATCTATTTTAAGCGGCACTTCTTATTTAAATACTCACTGTAGTCAAAAGTGAAATGCATTGTTTTTCTTGTAAACTTTCCTCACTGGTACTGCTTATATATTTTGTATCAATCCAATGGTGTCTTTAGATAAAGTTATAAGCAATATTATTTTCTATGTGAGATACTAAGGTAAGGTGGAACCATAAATGTTCTGCTTATGAGGGGTAGGGTGAGGAGTCAGTGAAGCTCCACCCTCCTGCACGCGGGAAGACCTCCTCTGCTATAAATCTTGATAACAACTAATAAGTGTGAGGAGAACGACGCCGAACCAGGTGTGATTTACTGACTCGGGTTACCCTTCACTGCCACACTTAGTTAAACTCAAACAATATAAATTTTTCTTCCATATGTAGTCTAAAAGAGCAGTCCTCACTGACGACCCATTATCGTTTGCGTCACTGCTATAACCAACACTAATACACCAAACGGATAATACAAGACTTGATACGAAATAGAAACATGGATGCGATTACTACTTGGGAAAATATTCGCTTATCAGTTTCTGAGACAAAATCTGCAAGATGCAATGTGTGTGATGAAGTTTCACAGTGTCAGGTTACTCGTTGACGATGTAGATGGCGCTGGAACTGGGCTATTGCTTAGGTATTTATGTATCAAACGTCAAAAAACGTAAGCTGTGTTCAATAGAATATCGACCATGAACGATACTACCCGAAAAACCACCCACAATAGTCTGAGTAGATTATAAATATACATACATACATACATGCGAGTAAATCACTGTAGGTGAGTGTGATCCAGGTATATGCTGATAACCACAAGGAAAAAAGAAAACACGAAGTTCCCAAGCGCTTTCGTGTAATTCACATCTTCAGGGGTGAGTACAGACTAAGGAGAAATACATAACAAGGCTTATATATATACAGTAGAGGAGGGTGAGATCAAGTCCACAATGGTCCAGTCGCTAGGTAGTGACTCTACTAATCTTCAAAATCACCGCAGCAGTCGGTAGTCTGACAGCCTCACAACACCTGAGCAACGACACCCCACATCCGGCTGCCCTATGACCACTTAACTGTACCGTGAGTGGTATGTATAGGACACCACCGTGAACAAGGGCATACTAATCAAGGGTAACCCGCATCTATCGCCTGCCAAAGACCTCCGGGATTGGTATGATTCGGTTACATTTGTCACAGCGTTCAGGGGGATTGTCTGACATCACTTGTGTGTCTTGTATCGTAGACGAGTGACATCAGGATCAAGGGTTTATCGTTCCAGCTGGACTGTGTGAGCCAGGGTGTGTTGTGTTGGTGGGTGGTGAGGCCTCGCCCTGCCCGACGCCGCTAGCAGCACCCACTCCTCTTCCCGACAGTCGCCCCCAGACGCCTGCCTAGAACACAGGGTCACCCTCACCTTCACGGAGAATTTTCAACGTGTTTGCATAATACGTTTTCCCGGTATACTGGATCCCAGTTTCAAGTGAAGGGCTTTGTGATATTCTGCTGCTTTACGCTGATAAAACAGTTTAGTAAATCAGAAGCCAAAATAACTTGGAACAATAGTTAGTGAGCGGGTCTCTGTGGTAACTGGTGTCTTGATATTCCTTCTTGTAGTAACATATTAGTTCCAGAAAACTTCGAAACGATAACTGTGAGACAAGTGTGAACTCCTGCAGAACATCACAATAGTACCACCGAAGTCTTGGAGGTCTCATTAACCTGGGCGGGTCGCTGTGAGGGACTCCCACGTCAGGTGTTGAGAGCTGAGCCGTCATGACCCGGCCCTTCCTGGCTCTCCTCACGCTGCTGCTAACATGGTGAGTTTTAGTACAATAATTTAACAGCTTTGAGTTGGAATATAAACGTCGGATTGACTTGATACTTTTAGCGGATTTGAATAATCTCACAATTGGAATAAAAGGGACTGAGTTTGCTGGAATGGCCATGAAATTTGCTGAAATCGGTTTATTTTGCAATCAAAACTACGGAATGGATAAACAATGACATATATTTACCAGAACGGACGTGTTAACAGCATAAACTGACCTGGAATATGAAACTCGTGCTGTCCTTTTACCGCCGCGGAAGCACAGCAAGTTTATTTCGTAATTTTCAATCGTCTTATTCGCTCTATTCAAGTATACAATAAAGTAGTCATAACCTTACTTAAGTGCCGCGACATTATCTCCTGCACGAGAAGGAAGAATCACTTGAGTCAACATTCAGGTTTCATCATCACTACGTTATATTTAGACGTCGTTCTTGTGGGTCAGTTTAGCCCTTTGAAAAAAAATGTTGACCGCAGTGCTGGGCGGAGTGAGTCCTCCCCACAGTTCTCAATGGGATAATTCACCATAACTTCATCTCACAATGGACCACTCACCACTGAATGTAAACAAGACATTGAAGATGTAAAGGAGAGAGAGAGAGAGAGAGAGATCACATAAACACGACCAAACAATTATAAGAGGAGCTCATAGCCTATGTCCGTCCTTGATCAGTATCAAGTATAAATACAAAGATAACCATACCGGTACTACGTTTCAGACACTGGACTTTATATACACGGGGCCGAGGGGCTGTCATGGCGATTATACATCAGATATAAACACAAATTGTTTTTATTATCAAATTATCCATCTGAAAACGTGACCTGTTTGATCACGTGACCTCCCTGATCACGTGACCTCCCTGATCACGAGACCGCATCAGTTAAAGTAAACTGATATCATCACCACCTAACAAGCCAAGCTAATTAACAGTCCGCATCTATCATTCAGTTAACTTCTACGACTCAATTTCTCGAGTGTGCTGCAGTTGATTCAGGAACCCGCTGTGTCACCCGCTGTGTGCATTAAACGTGGTATTGTCGCCTCCGGTCCTGCATAAGTGGCGAGTCAGTGGCTCTCCGCCCGGCACACGACACGACCCCTACGATAATTTAAGGCAAAGTGAAAGATTATACTGTTTTTGCTGGAGTTTCTGACCAACGAGGAAATTAAATGAGGACTCACAAATTCTTGGAAGTGAAGAATGCCTCGAGGATTGATACTTGGGATAAGAGACATGTATTAGAATTCATCCTTGTGACACGATACTTATAAATATCGTGTGGATAATGATTTCCTATCGTGTGTGTGTGAGGAACTATCGGACTTTAAAGGTTTTGTCGTATATTCGGGAAACAAATTATTTCTCGGTGTGGTTTATGTCAAGAGTTTGTGAATGTAATACTTTTGTTGTGTTATTGTGTCTGTAAACGAAGTACTGAGGCATTACACAGTCACTGGCATGATTGTGTCCGTCATAGACCATGGTGCCTCTGACCTCGACTACTGAGAGGGTTGAAGACTGACGCTTTGGTCTCTCTGAAGGCGCTGCAGTAGGTTTCTGAAGGCGACTGTGTGCCCTGTGTAGCTGTCCCTTTTTAATATTACAATATCTGATGATTATAGTATTATGCTCTATTACCACACACTAATTATAAGACTTTGAGCTGAAGGACACAGTTACAACAGCACCTGAATACATCTAAGGGGAGTCATGTAACAGATGTACAGTCAGTAACTCCAAGTCAGTGTTGATGGCAGAACATGACCCAGCACTAGTTAGTCTGGCAGTGACCAAAGTAACTGTACCTGTCTTTAGTGCTTTAGTTGAGTAAGTATTTGGTTATGGAGGACAACAATTACAGCTTCTTTTCTCATCTGAATTTACAAAATATAATAAACGCGAACTATTTTCGATAAACCAAGCAGAATTTTGTAGCGTGACGGTACAAATTCAAGCGTAGAGGAAGGAGAATAAATACCAGTCTCTGTCAGTCATAAAATATACCCTGACTCATACTAACCACTGCTAAGATGGTTATTAACGTAACCACATCCTTCGCTAAAGACTGTAATATCACGTTTAATTCATCCTCACGACAATGTAACAATGGGCATATCCTCCACATTCATCCTACACACATGACAAGGATGACTAGCTTCTTTATATCCTACTGAGGACGGCAGAAACATCCTCTCATCCTTCACATCTACCACAATGAGGATGACAGAAACATCCTCGCATCCTTCACATCTACCACAATGAGGACGGCAGAAACATCCTCTCATCCTTCACATCTACCACAATGAAGACGACAGAAACATCCTCGCATCCTTCACATCTACCACAATGAAGACGACAGAAACATCCTCGCATCCTTCACATCTACCACAATGTAATACAAACAGAGTACTTAATAACGTGGCCGCATTCCTCATATCTCTTACAACACAACAAATGTCATCAATTTATTTACTTGATAAAATAAAAGTGGCCACATCCTCCAGGGTCTGCACAGGACCTCCTTAACTTGAACAATTCCTCTAGTCCTTCCTCAAGACCTCTTTAACTTGGACCCTTTCTTCAGATTCCCCACAAAATCCTTCTAACTTGGCCACAACCTCCACAAGACCTCTAACTTGGCCACAACCTCTACAAAACCTCTTTAAGTTGGCCACAACCTCCACAAGACCTCTAACTTGGCCACAACCTCCACAAAACCTCTCTAACTTGGCCACCACCTCCACCAGTCCCTTAGCAATTACAATAAGAAACAGGTCAACGTTTTTCGGGTCCCTAACAAGGCAGAACAAGGAGCGTCACGTTCGTCTCGACTTCCACACAGTCTCGTCCTTGTGTTCTCGCCCGCCTGCTGCACTCCCCTGATGGCATCGTCACCCAGGCAGCTTATACTGACGCAGATGACAGTGTCCTTGTAGCCAATCAGTGTATTATCATTGTTTGTCTTGTGGAGGGGCAGGGGAGGGAAGGGGTAGTGGGAGGAAGGGGGTAGTGGAGGAAGGGGCAGGGAAGGTAGTGGGAGGGAAGGGGGTAGGGGAGGGAAGGGGGTGGTGAGGGAAGGGGTAGGGAGGGAAGGGGGTAGGGGAGGGAAGAGGGTAGTGAGATGAAGGAGGTAGGGAGGGAAGGGGGGGTAGGGAGGGGAAGGGGTAGGGAGGGAAGAGGGTAGGGGAGGGAAGGGGGAGGGGAGGAAGGGGGTAGTGGGGAGGGAAGAGGTAGTGGGATGGAAGGAGGTAGGGAGGGAAGGGGGTAGTGGGAGGAAGGGGGTAGGGGAGGGAAGAGGGTAGGGGAGGGAAGGTAGAAGAGGGAAGGGGTAGGGAGGGGAAAGGGTAGGGAGGGAAGGGGTAGGGAGGGAAGGGGGTAGGGGAGGAAGGGGTAGTGGGAGGAAGGAGGTAGTGAGAGGGAAGGGGTAGGGGAGGGAAGGAGGTAGTGAGAGGAAGGGGGTAGTGAGAGGGAAAGGGGTAGTGAGAGGGAAGGGGTAGTGGAGAGGGAAGGGGGTAGGAGAGGGGAAGGGGTAGTGGGAGGGAAGGGGGTAGGGGAGGGATGAGTGTAGTGAGGGAAGGGGGTAGGGAGGGGAAGGGAGGTAGTGAGAGGGAAGGGGTAGTGAAAGGAAAGGGGTAGGAGAGGAAGGGGTAGGAGGAGGGAAGGGGGAAAAGTGGAGGAAGGGGGTAGGGAGGGAAGGGGGGGCAGGGAGGGAAGGAGGGCAGAGGAAGGGGGTAGTGGAGGGAAGGAGGGTAGAGGGAAGGGGTAGTGTGGAGGGAAATGGGGGGTGTGGAGAGAGGGAAGGGGTAGTGAGAGGGAAGGGGTAGTGAGAGGAAGGGGTGGTAGGAGAGGGGTGTAGTGAGAGGGAAGGGAAGGAGGAAGTGTGGGTAGGGGAGGGAAGGGGTAGTGGGAGGGAAGGGCAGGGAAGGGGTGGGGAGGGAAGGGGTAGGAGAGGGAAGGGAGGTAGTGGGGAGGGAAGATAGTGGAGGGAAGGGGGTAGGGGAGGAAGGCAGGGTAGGAGTGTGGAAGGAGGAGAGGAAGAGAGGGAATGGGGTAGTGGGATGATAGGGGAGGGAAGGAGGTAGGGAGAGGGAAGGGGGTAGTGAGAGGAAGGGGTAGGGAGGAAGGGGTGTGGGGAGGGAAGGAGGTAGGGAGAGGGGGGGTAGGGGAGGGAACGGGGTGGGGGTGGGAGGGAAGGAGGTAGGGGAGGGAAGGAGGTAGTGGGAGGGAAGGGGTAGTGGAGGGAAGGGGTAGGGAGGGGAGCTAGTGGAGGAGATAGTGGAGGGAAGGCGGTAGAGAGGGAAGGGGTAGTGAGAGGGAAGGAGGCAGGAGGGAAGGGGTAGTGAGAGGGAAGGAGGTAGTGAGTGGGAAGGAGGTAGGGAGGAAGGGGTAGGGAGGGAAGGGTAGGGGAGGGAAGGGGGTAGTGAGAGGGAAGGAGGTAGTAGGGAGGGAAGGGGTAGGGAGGGAAGGAGCTAGTGGGAGGGAAGGAGGTAGTGGGGGGGAAAGATTAAAAAAATGTGCGATTATTTTTTTTTTTTTTTCAGCTTGTGTGTGTGTGTGTGGAAAGTGGATGTGTGTGTGTTTAAAGACCCTAATTATTGGATCTACTTAAATTCATATATATACAGACTCCAGGATGTGTGTGTATTTTCGAGGACCACAAGAAAGATCAGCCATCACCTACTCTGAAGACCACAAGAAAGACCAGCCATCACCTACTCTTGAAGACCACAAGAAAGACCAGCCATCACCTACTCTGAAGACCACAAGAAAGACCAGCCATTACTCCATTCTGAAGACCACAAGAAAGACCAGCCATCACTCACTTAAGACCACAAGAAAGATCTAGCCATCACCTACTCTGAAGACCACAAGAAAGACCAGCCATCACCTACTCTGAAGACCATAAGAGACCAGCTTATCACTGATTTCAAAGATCCATAAAGAGAAAGACCAGCCATCACCCACTGAAGAGCTACAAAGGATTGCCATCACTTACTCTGAAGATCATGAATTGAAGACCCACCATCACCCACTCCGTACCTGGCATTCTTATGGCTACAGTGATGCAAACACACGTTTATACACACCCAACTTAAATTTATTAATTAGTCTGTTATTTTCTACTGTCCTACATTCAAACTTTCTATTGTGATGTATATTAGTGGGGTTTTTTAAATTAAACAAGTCGAAAATCAACTCCCTTTTATTACTGTATGTGAATCACAACATTAACCCGGTAGTGTTGTGTCGTGTTATGGCGGCACTGATCATTGTTCTCCCTGACCCTTACTTATCTTCTACTTTTTTTTTCTTCTGTGCTTTTCTATCGTCAAAGGTTAAGAGGTGAATGAAGGAAGACGCCGAAGCTCACCAACACGAGGAATATTAGACAGAGCACACAGATGGGTCGGTAGATGGCTCTAGGATGCTTTAGCGACCAGTGCTGGGGCAGGAGGGGGTGGCATGAAACGCGAGACGAGGCTAACAAGGTGGCTGATTCATTTTTCCCTGGAGGAGGAGGAAGACGAAGGCATGGAGGTAGGAAGAGGAGGTGGTGGTAGGGTAGTAGAGAGGAGGAGGAGGAGACAGCGAAACAGGAG